TATATTCCGCGTAATTTATCGCTGTATCTTTACTTTCCAGGTGTGACAATTGTCAGCTGTGTTATCACTTTCATTGCCTTGACCCTCCAGTTAAGGTAGGTAGACTGTGATGGTAATTCACACAATAAGAACTGACACGTGGTCATTAGTTTGGGAGCAGCTCAAGGAGAAAAACACTTAGCCAAGAGAAACCAGTGATTTGGTGTTACATAATAGAGTATAACTGCAGCAAAATGGAGCTGGTCAAAAAGCATGACACAGAGGCCTCAGAGCCCATCAGTTGTTTCATTAACAGCTTCTTCAAATAGATAAAAGTCACATGATGCGTGTGGACAGACGTATAGTTTAAGTAACTTTATAGCGCAACATATCCTTTGCTGTGTGTAAATAGCTTTCTTACTTTTGTATTTAGGTTAACCCCAAGAACTAGTAATTGAGTTATCCAGTCATTCCTTCTGACGAAGGGCTAACGCTCGAAACCTCAACTTTGAAACTCTTTATGGTGGTCAATTTACACTATGAACGCAGTTGATAAAACCAAATGATCTATTTTTACTCTCCCACCGACGCGGCACCACAGTTTCTTCAGAAACTTACCCCCTTTAACCCCGAAACTGCCGTTCATTATCCATTGCTGTGTGTTGATAGCTTTCTTACTTTTACATCACGTGTAGGCTAATCCCAAGACTCGAGGATATCAGTGGGTATGCAAGGAATGCGATGAATCGGTAAGTCCTGATTCTTACCAAATAGTCTGCTAGCCAAAAAGGTTCTTTGTCTTCTTATCGGAGGAAAACTGAGGGAACTCAATTTGAAATGAAAATTTACTTTTATGAGTCTGTGAAGGTGAATTTTACAGTAAAATAATGAGTGTGCTTAATCTTGTAACTTTTTGTCTTTAAGGAAGGGGAAAGTGAAGATATGGATGTTGAAGAGTCGAACACGTCTGATGCGAAAACAGACAAAACATCGAAAGAAGGAAACGATAAACAAGAAATCAGTGAAACATACACACAAAAAGGGGAAGAAAATAAAGAAACCAGTGATGATTCTGTAGATCATTCCTCGGTAACGAGCCCTGAGGAAAAAGACAAGAAAGTTAATTTATGAAAGACTTCTTAATTATCTGAGCTCCATTTTATTTAACTTTATGAGGAAAATTTTAGAAAAATCTAGATATCTTTCAAAACT